GATGAAGGAAAATCATTGTTGTGTTCAAAGGGCTCAGAAATCTCAGCTTTTCCTGCTTTTTTCCTGTTTAAATCTAAAGGAAAACGCTTTTAGACGTTTGATCCAAACGGGCCAATGGGAGCAGGGCTGCTGTCCCATGTGACCTGAGAAAGGAGAGGATACTGTGTGGGATCCATTTAAATGGAGGAAAATCTGAGTTGGGAATCCAGTAGAAAAGCACTGAGAAACCAGCTTATGGAGCTTTAGATTAAAGAAATTCATTTAAAAATCAGATTTTTAGGTCTTTAGATGAAGGACATATTTGAATATCAGCTTTTTTAGGTATTTAAATGAACTAAAATCATTGTTGTGTTCAAAGAGCTCAGCAATCTCAGCTTTTCCTGCTTTCTTTCTGTTTGAAGTCGAAAGGAAAATGTTTTTAGACATTTAACACCAATCGTGTTCTTATTGTGGAATAAAAATGTTGTAAATAAGTAATATTATAAGTAATATTATATATATATATATATATAATATTACTTATAATAATATTACTTATAATATAATATTACTTATAATAATATATAAGTATATATATATATACTGTATATATATATATAAATATTTGGACCAAATAGCAAAATATTGAATTAAATCTGTAAACAGACATTTTAAATCTAAAGATAAACCCACTGAGCCTCTATGAAGGAAAACCACCTGCGCCAGGACATAGTCTGGTTCTTAAACTTGTCAAAAGCTGGGGTCTCAGGAGGTTAACCCTTTAACATCTTTGTGAGATGTTTGATTTATTCACCATTCGGCGGAGGAGTTGCAGCTGGCCGAGTCCCCGGCAGCTTCTTCTTCTTCTTCGTATCGGGTCTCACAGCTGTGGGGCAGAAGGGGGTCAGACCACAGACGTTTGGGGGAAAACGGCAGCCGTTTCCTGTTTCCTGTTTCCTGTGGAGGTTAGTGGGGTCTCACTCTGGAGCACTGAGCTCAGGAACTCTGTCCTGGCTCAGATCAGAGCCCGAATCGTTACACAGACCCTCCAAAGAGGCTCCGCCCGGCCCTGGAAGACAGGGAGAGAAAAGCCCAAAGGGGAAAAGCTGTTTAACCTGATTCCTCATGTGGTATTTTTAGTTTTTTTATCTTTTAACCCTGTAATGCCAAATGTCTCATATTTGATACGGTTTCTGAAAAGTTTGGGGTTAATATTCGATCAGAATAGCCTCCTGTTCCAATCAGAATCAGAATAAGGTTTATTGCCAAGTAGGTTTTTGACTTACAAGGAATTTGCCTTGGTGTTTGGTGCACAACACTTCTATGAGAAGCAAGGAAATACAATGTAGAAATAAAAACACAAAATATCAAACTAAAAAGTACAATCTTTAAAAATATAGATCTGAGGTGTTTAACCCTGTAATGCCAAATGTATCATATCTGATTCATACGGTTTCTGAAATGTTTTGCGTCTGACTCCTTTTGCATAATTTAATGGTAAAAACTTTGCTCAAAATCCTATTGTACACAATCAGATACACCTGATAACAGGGGGCAGAAGACTACACAAAAAATAATCTTGACTTATCGCATAGTAATAAATTATTAATATTAAACATGTATTTCTGTATTTTTCTTTTTACATATTTTGTTAAAAGGCCAAGTAAGGAGTTCAAACCAAAAAAATTTAATTTTCTCTTTTTTGAAATTTTTGGATCAGGTTTTAACCTCCTGAGACCCGAGCTTTTATTTGGCATGCATTTTAGCTTTTTTTTTAAAGATATATGAGATACATATTTAATTAAATGTTTTTACAATTTTGTTCTGACAGTCCCATTGACTTATTTACATTTTTTCTATTACACAATAAGAACATGATTGGATGGAAATGTATAAAACCATTTTACTTTAGATTTCAAACAGTGTCTGATAGCATCTGCTATGAGGTCAAGAGGTCAAAGCTGAAAGAAAAAAAGAAGTATCATGGTAAAGAGAGACAAAAATGCAACGTCCTCTTATGAGGACACAGGGTCTCAGGAGGTTAAAGGGTTAACCAGTGTTCTGTTTGCATTTGTTTAGTCTTTATGAGATCTTTGCCTCATGGCTGGTCCAAGCTTTTGTGTTTCTGGTCTTTTCTGTGACCGGTTTTGTTAGTCTCTGTTCTGGTTCTGAATGTTTATTATTTGTACTGTTTCAGACTTCTTTCTGGTTTTCTCAGATTGACACTTTCATTTGTTCTCAAGGCTATCAAAAATGTTTCTTGTTCTATGAGTTTTAGTCCTTTTTAATATTTCCAGCCATGTTTTCTATCTAAATCAGGTCACTTGTTTCCTCTTTTCTCCTTTTGGTTTTCTCATGTTGCCTCTTTAATGTGTTTTCTGGTCTTTAAAAAAAAATATGTTAATCAGATATCAGTTTTAGTCCTTTTTATTAATAATTCCAGCCATGTTTTCTATCTAAATCAGATAGTCAGAGTCACTTGTTTCCTTTTTTCTCTTTCTGGTTTTCTCATATTGCCTCTTTAATGTGTTTTCTGGTCTTTTAAAAAAATATAAAAATCTTAATCAGATATCAGTTTTAGTCCTTTTTAATAATTACAGCCATGTTTTCTATCTAAATCAGATAGTCACAGTCACTTGTTTCCTTTTTTCTCCTTCTGGTTTTCTCAGATTGCCTCTTTAATGTGTTCTCTCGTCTTTAAAAAAAATAATCTTAATCATATATCAGATTGAGTTCTTTTTAATAATTCCAGCCATCTAAATCAGGTCACTTATTTCCTCTTTTCTCCAATAACTGGGACAGAATCTGACCTGTAACACACCTGACTGAGGCAGATCGGCTGCTTTTTGCTTAGATTCACTCAGTTGTGGTGATAAATCCTAATAACATAATAATAACAATATAATAATAGCCATAAACGGTTCGTTCCGCACCAATTCCTCGTCACAAATTCAGGATTTGGATTCTATTTCCTGTGTTCCTGCTGTCCGGGGAGTCTGTGTTTACCTGTGATGTGGATCACGGAGGTGAGGCCGTCGAACAGGACCGTCACGCTGTGATTGGCGGCGGCCATCTTGGCCGTCACGCCTGTATGGTCTTTAGAAATATCCACGCCGTGCAGCGTTTGGGTCCCGCCGCTCAGCGCCAGCGTTTCTCCGTCCGCCTGCAGGGGGCGCCGCAGAGCACACGTTAGAGTC